GTAGATGGTAGATGGTAGACTGTAGATGGTAGATGGTAGACAGTAGACAGACAGTAGAAGTAGATAGCAGACAGGAGATGGTAGACGGTAGATGGTAGATGGTAGACGGTAGTTGGTAGACGGTAGACGTTAGATGGTAGACTGTAAATTGTAGACAGTAAACGGTAGAGGGTAGACGGTAGATTTTAGACAATAGACGGTGGATGAAAGATGGTAATGGGAATAGCACAGTTTATGGTATATGGTAGATGGTAAGTAGATGGTAGATTGAAGACAATAGACGGTAGATGATAGATGGTAATGGGTAAAGCACATTTTATGGTATATGGTAGATGGTAGATTGAAGATAATAGACGGTAGATGATAGATGGCTCAGTAACATTTCGTCTAGTACACTTTCGTCTAAGTTCACTTTTGTCTAGTTCATTTTCGTCTAGTTCTTTTTTGTCTAGTAACATTTGGTCTAAGTAACATTTGGTCTAAGTAACATTTGGTCTAAGTAACATTTCGTCTAAGTAACATTTGGTCTAAGTAATTTGGTCTGAAAAAAATGTAAGTGATTTTATTTTAACACTGCAAAAAAAAGGAGAAAACCCGCGAAACAAAATCAAGAAATCCGCAATTCGTAAAGGAGAAATTCTCCACTCTTCTAAAACACGTTGAACTGAGAGGAACTCACTGGCGGGATGAATTATGATACTCAACCAGTAATTTTGTAGATAAGTACTTCAGACCAAATTCCTTACTAAAAATTACTTATTCCAAAAGTTACTTGGACAAAATGTTACTTACTCCTTTCTTAAAGTTAGTTAAACCAATTCTGTAGTTTTAGACCAATTTACTTACTAAAAGTTACACTCTAATTTGGGTCTGCTACACTATCTTCTAAACTGGGTCTGCTTTACTATCCTATAAACTGGGTCTGCTTTACTATCCTATAAACTGGGTCTGCAATATTATCCTCTAAACTGGGTCTGCTCACTCTAGTTTGCCATGTCCTGATCCAATCAGGGTTCAGCCATGTGTTTTTTGTCTTTTCTGCACTGACCCAATAGAAATAGTATGGCAGTAACATCTATCTTTCTATCTATCTTATTATCCAATTAGAGATAAATCCTTATTTCGGCGCAATAGCAGTAAATGGAAATATTTACTTATAATCAAACCATGGTGTGCTATACTTTCCTCTAATTTAGATCTGCCACACTATCCCCTAAACTGGGTCTGCTATATACTATCCTCTAAACCGAATCTGCTATACTATCTTCTAAACTGGGTCTGCTTTACTCTCCTCTTAACTGGGTCTGCTATACTGTCCTTTAAACTGGGTTTGCTAACCTATCCTCTAAATTGGGTCTGCTATACTATCCTCTAAACTGGATCTTCTACACTATCCTCTAAACAGTGTCTGCTACACTATCCTATAAACTGGGTCTGCTACCATGTATAAATATTCTAATATTGTATACAGCCAATATAAGAGAACACAGCCTCGTAAATTAGATAAAAAGGAAAAACCTTTATCTCTACAGCTTACAGGGAATCCCATTAAACATTTTAATGGACATGTAATATGAATACATATACTTTGAAAACATAATACTCAATTTACACCCCCCCCCCCTTTTCCTTCTACAGACTTTTTCTCCATTTACAGAAAAAATTTAATTAAAATTTTCACGTTTTCTTTGATAAAGAATTAGTATCTTGTAATTTGATTGTTGACAAAAAGCTAAGTCAACAATCACTGTATTGATTTAAACGCCTGCCAATGTAGTTATGACATAACCATCTCATGTGGATACTGACTGACACCATATATTTGAATAGATCTAATTAGGTATTTTTTTCTCTACACTCTCTGACACTAACACTAAGTATAATAATGATCGACAAAGATTATTTAAAAAATCTACGGCGAAATTGTTTGGTTTGGGTTTGGGCTGGTAAAGACGACATAACGTGAGAGTGGGGTTAGGAGTTATGTTTATGGTCAAAAAATTTACATTTTATAACTAAGTTTTCTTCATTTTATTCCTTAACTCATCTTGCTCAGAAAAAATGCATCCTAGAAAGAAAAAAAAGTTCTTTATAAGATACCGTTTAAAAAAACACAGTTTTTTTCTTTTTAGTGAACAGGTAGATTAAAGATATCTTTTTAGATTGTAATTTAATCTGTATCTTGTGCATTCTCAAACTATTACTATAAGTAAGGAAGGAAGGATGTATGTTTATTAAACACAATTATTTTATTCACAAAGAGTCCACGCACTAGAAAACATGAATAGAAGAAAAGTGACTGTAAACTTAGTTTTTTAGTGACCCTTCATTTACAAATTGGTGTCTAGAATTCACCAAGAGTATCCATAAAAAAAACTAATAAAATGAGGAAGGTTGTTAATCCCTCCCCTCCCCCCTACAGGTCAGGGGGGGGGGCAGAATTTGTATCCCTATCAATTTAATCATTGCTTAACAAGATTCTTGTAAAAGTTAGTTTCCTTTTCTTTTCTTCTTTTTCTTGTAATAGCTTTAATTGGCGCTGTCACTAGAGACTTACATTAATTAGGAATAAGTCTAAAGTGTATATGGTAGATGGTAGATGGTAGATGGTAGATGGTAGATGGTAGATGGTAGATGGTAGATGGTAGATGGTAGATGGTAGATGGTAGCTGGTAGATGGTAGATGGGAGATGGTAGATGGTAGATGGTAGATGGTAGTTGGTAGATGGTAGATGGCAGATGGTAGATGGTAGATGGTAGTTGGTAGATGGTAGATGGTAGATGGTAGATGGTAGATGGTTGATGGTAGATGGTAGATGGTAGATGGTAGTCAATAGTCAGTATACAGTAGACAGTAGACAGTAGATGGCAGATGGTAGATTTTAGATGGTAGACGGTAGATGGTAGATGGTAGACTGTAGATTGTAGACTGTAAATTGTAGACAGTAAACGGTAGAGGGTAGATGGTAGATGGTAGACGGTATATGGTAGATGGTAGATGGTAGATGGTAGATGGTAGATGGTAGATGGTAGA